GACATCGTCTAGGACAAGTTCATTAGCATTCGCGGCCAACACTTGAGGCCTTATGTGGTCGGCGACTGGTGCTTCCCTCTGCTGCCCTTTCTCCTCATCTCGTTCTCTCCCAGCGGGATGGGCACCCTGCGCAGTACCTGTTCGATGGAAGGCTCATGAAGGGAAGGTCCGTGGTGGAAGAATTGATACTTGATACTGCCTCGGTTCTAAGAGAACCGAGTCGAATCCTATGCCTCACCCAAACTGATGTCTATGACCAAAAATAACCGATGTCTATTCCTTTAACCGTATCGGTGATTGTAGATGAATCTGGTGTACATTTCAGTCTCGTGCAAGTTTAAAATTTTGCATATGAATGATTTTTCTTGCCTTTCGAATCTGTAATTGACTGCAGTGATGAACGTGTGTCCATCCAATGCAAATTGTGTTGGTGTTTGAATTTCATTTTCAGTTAATCAATTACAAATTAATTGTGGCTTCAACGAAAGTAATTGTATTTTAGAGCAATGATGAATGTAAAGTACAGCTCTTTTCTCTCCTCACCTTCCAAACTTGAATAAAATTTATAAAAAATCAAGCAACTAGTTCATCTCCAGTTATTAGTTAAATCGATGCTTTCCGTCTAACATAAATACATTTTATACAGGTTAAATTAGTTATTTTTTAATCTCTAATTTAAAAATTACATATTAAAAATTTAGGATTAAAAATATCAATTTTTCGTTAAATAAATAAATTGTCGTATGGTAATCCTCACATCTTTTAGTAAAAGTTATATACTAAATAATTAATCAACACTAAATCATAAGTGTAGGATCAGTTGTCTTGAGGTTACCTATTGAGAGGGACTCTACTCCTCTTTTTATAATGTAAAAGTCAAAATTTTTGTTTTGCATGCAAGTGAGAAAAAAAAAATTTATTGAAGATATATAATTTATATGGATAATGATAATTATGTATAGTATTAAAAAAAGTAAAATAATTCATCATATAATATAATATATATATATATATATATATATATATATATAATTAATATTTAAAATATCTAAAAAATTAATAATTATAATATTTTATTTTATTTTATTATAATAGAATTAGTAGGGCTATCAATTGAGATTTTTTGTTAGGACGAATGGTATCATAAAGTTCAAGGAATGATCTTTCTTTTATAATAAGAAAACTCTTACTATTAAATGTTAATTACAAAATGAATTTGGAGTAACTACAATACATCATTAATATCCTAATGCAACCAAATCAATTATAATAAATTAAAAATAGAGGAAAATCAAAATTATAGATGCATTTATGAACCTAATTAAAATTATCTTTATATCTCTTGGCTATTAAAACTTTAATAATCAATTCAATGTTGAAGAGGTTGAAAATATAAAATATAAGATGTCTTTAGTAAGGGCTACGTGGTAAGACAGGAGATGCACATCCAAAGTGAATCAGAATATATTAACTATTCATAATTAATAATCATACATGAACTCTCAATTTTCACATATGCATAAGTTAATATATGGGAACATTCTCAATCCCCCTTTATGTACTATATAAGGTTAATTAGTATTCGATTACTATAGAGGCTTTATTCATAAGTACTCGTTACATTTTTTAAGTATATTTTTTATTCTTCAAGTATTATATAAAATTGGAAATAGTGAAACTTTGGTCCTCCAATATTTTCAAAAACATTCAATTTTTTTATATGTGGCAAATAATGATAACACGTATTATTTTTTATTTTATTTTTTAAATTAAAAAAAACATTTATCAAAGGTGTGAATCATTCAGTAGGTCAAACTTTCAGCCCATTTCTCTTTTCTTCACATAAACTTAGATCATCTTCTCCTCCACCTAGAAACCCAGGTCATCATCACCGGCGACAATGGTCATTGGCAGTGCTGAAGTGCTTCGTCAGCACTGCCGGTGCACCTCCTTCCTCATCATTCATGCGGAGCAGCTTCTTCTTTCCTCCATTTCTGGCCATCTTCTCCTTGTCAAACCAAAGCAATTCAGCCTTAACGCCTCCGACCAAAGTCACTGCCTCACGATGCACCCAGTAACGTCCCTTGCACCGTCGAAAACACTCCTGTTTCCCATCTTCTCCGCACGCACTGTCTTCGTCTTCCCCAAATCGAGATATGGAGCAACGTCTCTTTTCCATGGCACCACACCAGTATCCCGTTGCACCACTAATCGCGACACCGGTGACCTCCGGAGCCATTTCTTTTCTCTGTCTATGCTCCATTTCAGATCGGGAAGCACCGGAACAACCACCCTTGCGCTGGTGAGGGTGGAGAAGCAAAAGAACTGCCTCTTGGCTGCAAGGGCATGAATGAAGCTTTTGGAGGTGAAGATAAAAAAAAGGAAAAATGGGATGAAAGTTTGACCCACTAAGCGCACTCCCACAATTTTTTTTTTCATTTCATTGAAAATAAAAACAGAAAATATTAGACTCGTATCACCACATAAAATTTAATGCTATTGAAAAATATATACAAAAAACCAATGTTTTTAAAAATACAAAAACTAAATAATATCAAAATTTTGACCAACCATCATTTTCAATTTTACATAATATTTTAAGGACAAAAACATATTTATTCTTATGTTAATATAGGGTTGCAACATTCTCAATCCTTACATTGTGTTGAGTTTACTTATCTTTATAGGACTAATTAGTATTTAACTACTTTAAAGACTTTGTTCATTTAAATAAAGATAAATACTAGTTACATTTTTTCTAAGAATATTTTTCTCAAGAATATGATAAGCCTAAAATTTATTTTGTCTCATCTTTAATTAATTATGATAATTGTGTTTTTTTAATAACAATTAAGGAAATATATTTTAGTTTTTAGATTTTTTAAAATAAGAAAATTTATTATTTATTTATTTTATCTTTATTAATAAATAGAACAATTTCGATTATTTGTTAAGTGAGATAAAATAGTTAAAATTAGATTAAAAAAATATTATCTAACATTAAAGGAGATTAATTCAAAACACATATTTTCTCATTATGAAAAAAAACATTAATATATTTTTATGTTCTAATTTTATTTTTATATCTTGTAATTTATCTTTTGTCTTTATTTTTATTTATTTATATTTTAGTATTCATTTAAATTTCTGTAAAAGCTAATAAACAAATATTGTATAACTTGAATACTACTCTGATCCCTTGGTACTTGATACTGAAACTTAAAAATGGGTACACTTGCAAAAAATATTTAATCCAAATGAAAGGTATGCAAAACTCTTCTTGTGTGTTTGACTTTCTATGTGTTGTATTTAACTTTTGTTTATATAGGTGAATAAATTGATATTATGGAAACTCTTAGACAAAATGTTAATTAGATCTTCAACGTGTTAAACCTAATGCCTGAATTTGCTTAACTATTCTTCTTGTTACTTTAAGAGCATGAATCTTCTAAGTTTATGTGTAGAATAGTTGAACTTTTTCATGTATTAGCTCAAGGAGTTATGTTTTTTTTTTTTGTTTTTTCATTGTTTTGGGTGTGAGGTCACGGTTCCTTTGGGCTTCAAAAAGTAATATATTAATGTTAACGAGTGCAATTATTAAAATATTAATTTGTTTCTATTGAAAATGGTCTGAGAGTAGAGATTGATATTTTCTATGCACTTCAAGCTTAGGATGAACTTTTTAATGATCTTCTATTATTATCTGAGTTACTTGTTATTTTTCTTTTTAAGCAGTGTGGGTGTATACTTGTTAAAGATATTTCAACTCTCAAGTAAGTAATATAATTGATTCATCGATTAGCACAACAAATAATGCATATAACGTGCATAATGCTCCAAAAGTCATAACTGAGACCTTTATTTATAATAGTTATGGTGAATCTCTACTTTTTATTGATATAATAATGATTCAATCACACCTCAATCTGCGTTAAGAGCTTAATAAATCATTATCATTGATAATCTGATCATATTGTTAAGTCATATTGAACACAATATAGAGAAACTCTACACAAAACAATTCATTATTGAAAGAGGTCGACCGTATGGTCGGGATTCATTTAGCATGAATCGATTCTCATTCGATTTCTTGATAAATGAACAGAGTACATAGTTTCACAGTTTCATTGTACACCAAAAACAGAGCATACTCGGTATGCAACAGAAAATAACATCAACTGCAAAATACCTCGAATCCAGAGAATTAATGAGATGCAAGAATTGGTTACATAGTACAAAGATTAATTATATGTAAAGCGTGGACGCCATTAATTATTTGTCTCTTTCTTTCTTCTCATATCATATTAACTCTTCCTTCTATCATAACTTCATTTTTTTTTCTATAGCAAACAATGTCCATGAATCGTTTTCATTGTATAAATGGAAAACCCACTTCTAACTGCAATGGACTGATAACATTTTTAGTTATAAGGGTATGGCAAATGAATTGAAATTTCACTAGGAACAGTTGCAGCTAAGTATCACTAACTAAAGTTTTCATACCATTAACTGTGAATCAATTCAAATTGACACAAATGTGTGAGAAACTGTTACGGTTACCTGGAATTTAAAGTCATCCTGCATCGTGACAACCACCACAGAAAAGGAAACGGGACAACATCAAAATGACCCTCCTTAACTAACATCCACCTCATCATCACTTCTTCACAAAGCAAAATATTTCTGTAAAGCACATTGCTTTTCTTACAAGCATCTAGCAATGCCTTATTAAGTATTTACATACCTAAACAACACCATTAGCAAGTGGTCCCTTCAACAAAACAACTTTCTCTAACAAAATCATCACCCATTTCCCAATCTTCACCAATAAAATGACCATTCCAAGGAAGCAATTCTCCCTCCCTGTAATATCAAGCTTTTTAGAAAGAAAATTCATTGCATGAGGGCCTCTTGCCACCTTATACTAATTGCAACCTTTCACCTAATCTTTTTACATATGGAATCTCCATGCACCCTCTCCTTCATGTATATATTACAACACCACATCTCTTCCTTCCACTTGTAACAAAAATCTCAGTCTTCTTCTTAGCTTTTTTCCTCACTCCAATGGCAAAGTTTTTCCATTTCCTCCTTCTTCTCTTCATCCAAACAATCTCAGCCCAAGTAGCACCGACACCAGCAGGACCCACCAACATCACCCAGGTGCTAGAGAAAGCAGGGCAATTCACAACCTTCATCAAACTTCTCAAAGCCACACAAACAGCTGACAGACTCAACTCACAGCTCAACAACTCAAACCAAGGCCTGACCTTGTTTGCACCCACTGACAATGCATTCTCAAGCCTAAAAGCAGGAACACTAAACTCCATAAACTCACAAGACCAAATGCAGTTGGTGCAGTTCCACATCCTCCCCACTCTCTACTCCATCTCACAGTTCCAAACCGCCAGCAACCCTTTACACACACAAGCCGGGAACAGCGACGACGGAGAGTACCCTCTGAACGTCACCACCTCCGGGAACCAAGTGAATCTAACAACTGGGGTGATTGACACAACAGTGTCCAACACTATATTCAGTGATAACCAGCTTGCGGTGTATCAGGTCGATAAGGTGCTTCTTCCTATGGCACTTTTTGGCTCGACGGCTCCGGCGGCAGCACCGGCGGAGGCTCCGGCGCCTACCAAGCCGGAGAAGAATGTCCGAGCAGGGGCAGCTGATTCTCCATCAGGGTCTTCGGACTCGTCCGCTGATGCTTCGAGTGCAGTGAGTTTGAAAAGGAAGACAGTTGAAGTTGTTACCTTTGTTGTTGCCGTTATTGCCGTTTCTTGTTTCTGAATGTAAGTCGCAGGATGCCTCATTTTTCATGTTCCTGTTTTCAATTTTTTTTCCCTGGAGCAAGTTTGGGTTGATTGATGATGATGATGATGATGGAGATGCAGATCTTGTGTGGTGTTGTTGCTAAGATGTTAAAAAATTTTGGGTTCAATATAAATGATTTGTTCTTTCTTTCAAATAGTTGATTTGGGACTTGGAGCTACTGTCTGTTTATCATTGTTAAAATGTATGCTTGTTCCTATCTCATCATACAATTCAACAAGCCAAAATCAAAAGGTTTGTAACTTTTAATCATGATGACAATTCTGCTATGTCTTTTAAACAACTATATCTTTCAAAGGTCATCACACTTTTTGGAAGATGAACATATCTTAGTTATATACAATTGGAAAAGTATAAAGGATTGTATTAAGATTTTCTTTAATGTGATAAAATAGATCAATCATTTTATGCCTATGAACAAAAAATCGAACATATTATTTAATCCATTTCTTTCACTAATTGAAATTTACTAAAAATCATAAATGTTTGATCTAACAATTTATAGAGAATAATTTTTTTATAGAATTTTTTTAAAATATTTTATGATAAAATATATTATCTGATAATAGAAATTTAAAATAGTATAAAAAAATATCAAGGTAATATGATTATTTAAGTTAGAAATTTTCAAATTATGTTTTTGGAAGTAAGGATTTGAAACACTTTATGTTTTATTCTATTTCATATAGTCTCTGTTAATGAGGTTAAAATAGGAGTTTTCGGATTTTTTGTTTTTTAAAAATTTAAGCTAGTTCAACATTAGATTAGATTTCCTATATGTGAAAGGTATTTTTTGTTAATATCTTTCAAAACTCAAACATCTTCATAAAAAAAAAAAAAAAAAAAAAACTTAACTAAAAAATCTTTCAAAACTTTCGTTCAAAAATAACTTCAATATTACCTAAATACTGCTATTGACTGCCTTTTGAATTATTAAATATTTTAATTTTAAAACATCCTTTGTATTTTGTATTAATTAAAATATTAAAAAAATCAAATTTAATAAATTACATTGTTTAATCCAAAAAAAAATTAAAAATAAAATATCTAAAATATTTAAACTGATTCAGTCCATTTAAAGAAAAATTGAAACAATTTTGTATCCATGGAAAAACTTGATTGTGAATAAATTGTAGAGCCATAACCACAGTAACAGCTAATCAATTTTAAATTTTACTAGATAACTGGAAGTTCGCAACTAAATAGATCTCAAGTAGTAGCTCAAAACTGCGAAGGTGTTAACTTGGAAGCAATTCCATGATGCCTCCTCAACTAACATTCAAACCCCAAACCCACCACTTCTGCATAAAGCAAAAATTTCTCCAAAGCATGTTTCTTATCTTACAAGTAACTGGGGATGGCCTACGTATTGATCTCAACAACTGTTAGAAAGGGATTAGTGAAATAAAATTGATGTGGTCCCTTCAGAATATAAAAAATATGGGGTGTGGCTTTTCCAATCAGAAGTGAAATTCAAACCCTCCAGGAAAGCCCCCTCCAAATCCACCACCAGGGAAGCCCCCCTCAAAATTAAAGGTAAACTGCTGGCCCCCACCACCAAAAGGGTTGAAACCGCCGCCGCCGCCGCCGCCCATTCCCATCTCTTCAAGGTCCTCCCCCCTGTCATATCTTACACGTTTGTCTTCATCGCTCAGAACCTAAAACAAATTGCAACAATCAGTTATTGCAGTCCTTTCAACACACTTGTTGGGTGAACTTGGTATAAGTCCCACCAAACTAAGAATAAGACAAAATTTAATTGATTCCAGTTAAATTTCACTAATATCAAAACGTGTGTTAAAAAGGAATGTGTTGTTAGCAATTCCCATTCAACAATGATCCGTGAGTCCCCGTTAAATACTTTAGGAGAAAGGCAAGGTAACCAAAAGATGAAAATAATAGACCTCACCTCATATGCAGCAGCAATTTCTCGGAATTTAGCTTCTGCTTCTTCTCTTTTGTCCACATTCTTATCTGGGTGCCATTGTAAGGCAAGTTTCTTGTAGGCACGTTTTATATCAGCAGCAGAAGCAGTTTTAGAAATTCCCAAAGTCTTGTAGTGATCCTTACGTTTGCTTATCTTTAAAGCTTTCTCCGCCCTCATTACTGCTTCACGGATATTCATATCCTGAAGTTACAGACAAATCATTACTCAAACGCACACAAATATTAAGGTATTACAGTATTAGTGAATCTCATATGATGTCACGACCAAAGAACTGTCGAAACTTTAAAACTTTCAAATAACAGCAATATCAAACACTGGTAGGATGAGTATTTTTTTGTATCATTTTCAACGAATTCAAGATTTTACACCTGTTCCTCACAAAAAGTCATCCTAATAAGTTCTAATTTATTAATGATTTTGAACATGCTATATGAGTACTATGTATATAACAAACCTGAGGAGATTTTTGAGCAGCTGATCTCATATCATCCACAGCTCCCTCCCAATCCTCTATTAAGAGCTTAGCTTCTCCTCTCTGTAAAAAATTACAAGAGCAAGGTACACCACAGTTATCTTACTGCAATCACGTACTTTTCCCATTACACAACACAACAATAAAAAAATGAAGAGACAAATGGCTAGAAGATTGTAGCAAAAAAGTACTGCTAAATTAAAAAACAAAGCAAAAGGGCAATGGTGTTCATAGCATACCTGAACAAGAGCTTCAACAAGTTCCTCATTGATCTTAAGAGCTTCACTACAACTTTCCAAGGCATCTATTCCTCTGCCAAGCTTGACTAGCACTTTACATAAGCCAAGATGAAGATGTACATTGTGCGCAAGATGGTCAGGGTCCACAGCAAGAGCAACTTTGAATTCTTCCACTGCCACACGTAGTTTACCCTTACTCGCATTATCTTCAGCCTTTCACATAGAAATAAAAGGCAACCAACCATTCTTTAACACACAAAAGAAAGAAAAAAGGAAAATAGACTCAAGGTGAAATGTAAAAAGAAATTTCCACAATAGACGAGGCCTTACACTTTTACTCTTCTTTAGTAGATTTTTCAATCGAAAATATGCTTTTTTCAGTTCACTGTGCTCTGGATCTGAGCGAAGACCTTTTTGAAAATGCCTGAAAATATACTCACATATAAGATAGATTATATAAAAAAAGATATTAGTTAGAATACCATACAAATTTAAAAACATTTCCACAAGACACACCTCGTGGCAACATCATGATCAGCTAAATAGTAATATGCACGACCACGTAACAACAATGCCTCTAAATTATTTTCATCTTCCTTGAGAAGAAACCCTGACTCAGCAATGGCACCCTCATAGTCTTTATCAGCTATTAACAGCTTCACTTTAAGGAGCTTAGCCTGCATAAAATAATGCACATAGAGTTAACATGTTGGCTCCACAAACTAAATGCCAGAACAAAACCAATGCCTATTTATGCATTCACTTTAAGACTAGTAACTACTCACAAACAAAAACAGAAATTATATTTATAAAACTAGAAGAGAATGAAACAGTTACCTTAGTGCAATCTGGAGAGAAAACAAGAACAACTTTATCAATAAATTCCAAGGATTTTGAGAAGTTGCCCAAATCATAGAGGGACTGAGCTGTTTCTAGAGCACTTTTAGCCTGCAATAGTTGAGAGAGCTCCTTTTCTGCAGCTGAATCTCCAGGCTTCAACTCCAGAAAATGTTTGTAGCTCCTCTCGGATTGCTCATATCTACATTAGCCAAAAAGCACCTGAATGATATAACTTCTTAATTAGGAGTTTCAGAGACTTGGCATGAGGGGTGGATAAGAGATGGGAGGTGAGGAGAAGAGACGAAAGAGTCATATGATCTTCATTTTCAGAAACAGAGTTTAAATGAAGGACCTTATTATGTCTTTGCTAACTTTAGGAAGGAATGCAGCAGAAAAAGGAGTACAGTACAGCTGTTTTTCATAATTCTTGATTGATAATAAGAAGGCTTAGGGTATACTGCCCCTCTCTCATAACAAAAAGAAAGTGGAAAATTAAAAAAAAAATTGAACAACTCATTAAATTAAATAAATAAAACAGTCTTAAAACCACTTTGAAATGTGCACAAAAAATACTCGAGGAAACACACTTCAGTAACCAGCATTTTTTACAGTATCCCCTGTCTTCGTGATAATATGAGCTTATTTAATGCGGTATTTAACAAGGGATGTTATCTAAGACGTAAATGTATCTAAGATTGCAAATGAACCACACCTGCATATCTGACGAAGAACTGAGGCTCTGAAAAGGTATGCTTTTGAAAGGTTTGGGTCTGCTTCTATTGCAGCATTTAGATCATCAAGTGCCTCAGTATAGTGTTTCACTTTTACGCTTTGCGATACCCGCTCAAACAACTCAGCAGCATTTTCAGGATTTCCATCTGATCACATCCGACAACAAAACAAAGAATGTAAGGCAACACAAACTGTTATCAAACTTAAACATAGAACCGTTGCAAAACTTCAATCTAATATCACAGATACATTCTTTAACTATCTCTATTTTCTCATCCTTCTATGATATATCAGATTCTGTTGTTGGGTTGAAAACATCACAGATGAATTTTCTCATCTGACAACAACATATGTTGTTAATAATCTACTTCAGTTTCTAATGTTGATACTACCCTGCACTAAAAGCCCTATGAAGTTAAAGCTCTAAAATCATAATTCACAGTGGAATAACCATACCAACGTCTATTGTTAGAATTGATATATCTTGAAAAAAGTGAATAACTTGGTTAATAGCAGTCTTGCAAAATACACTTTTTCTTTTGCAAACCATAAGAATCTATCATTAAAATATACTAAAAAACAGTAATAACTCAGGTGCTAAATACAGAAACTGTGGAAACAACACAACTCATGGAGAACTAGGGAAAACTGAAAAAGGAACATCAAATCAAAAAGAGCAAGAGAAAATTTCAAAAGAAATTCGAATCCATAGAAACAGATCAGGGAGTACCGGAAGCGAGAGGGTGAAGGAGAATGAGTTGGCAGACCAAAACGAAATTGAGTATGAAGAATGTGTAGAGCAATCCCCTGTAGGCAACCGAATCCATTGTCAACAACGAAAAACCTAAAACATTGAACATTGTGATCTTCCTTTCCTCTTTAGTTTTTGAAATCCTTTGTTGTTTTTCACATTCGCAGAGGATACTGTTCCAAGAATCACCAGAAGCACTTTATTATTTTATTTTTAATTTTTGTAACTAAAACTAAAACAAAAACTATAAAATGAAATATTTGAAGCAGGGTAAGGGGGCTTTTCGTAATTTAAATAATAGCTTTGAGCTACAAATACACATACATGTCACGCCACGTGGTTTATCCAATGGGTGCTCCACACGTGGATTTTGACACGCTTCTATTTAAGAAACTTCTTATGTCAAATGGAGACCAATAAATATGTGACAGATCATTTTGTTTAGCTTCAAACTCCGTGTCATCATTTTCATTATCAAACATAGTTTTAAAAGAAATATTTAATTTAATATAATTTATATTAATATTCATAATAAATACATAAATATATATAAATTACATAAACTTCAGTTTTAAAATAAATAAATAATTTTAAATGTAAAAAATTCAACTATAGTCATTGTTATCTATATAAGAAGATTTATTTATATTAGTAGTATTTTAGCATATGTATTACTCAGAATAAATATCTATTTTACTTAAATTCATTTTATGGTGAATAAATATTTTAAAATATATAAATGTCATCATAATTAAATCTTAATAAAAAATATCAAATATATTTCTAAATTTATTATGAATAATTAATATTGTAGTATATTTCATTTTCAATTTTTTATTCAATATTAAAATTTGAATTACAATTAAAAATAATAAAAATGATAAATATTGCAAGATTTAAAACGTCAAGCCAAATTGTTCAAATAATATTAAAAACATAAGAGAATATATTTTATACCTCTGGCAAAAGTATTTTTGAAGTTTATATATATATATATATATATATATATATATATATATATATAAATTAATGATATGATGATTTGTCTGATAAATAAGGACTTATCATAATTTAAACCATATGCACATATAGATAAACAATAAATAAATCACAATATTTATAATGAATGAAAATATCTGTAGTTGTTGTTTTTTTAAATACTTCTTTAGTCAGAACTTTTTTCAAAATTAACCTCTCATATATTTTAATTAATTTCAATATTGTTCAGAAATATATCACTTATTACAAATAATATTATATCATGGTATAAACTATCTCTCACAGATCTGTAATATTTTTTTATTTATTTTTAGAGGTATTACTTATATTGAATTTAATTTATATAAAATAAGTTTTTACTTTCAGTACACAGAATTAAAATACTAATTTCTTAAAGTAAACTATTTAAAATCTCCATATCTATAAATAAATATCATAATTGCAAATATTATGAGTTTTGTTTTTCTATAAACAAACTGAAAGTGGTTTTGTATTGATAAAAAAATGCATTAAAAAGAACAATCAATTTAAAACACTGGACCAGACCATTGGTTCAAAAACACATTGAGCACCATAAAGCTAGGTTTGATATTGGTTTGAATCTTTTAATTAAATAAATATGTTAATAAGATATACTTTAATGGTCCAAAAGCTTAATCCATGTTGAAAAAACCAAGAAGATAATCTATATTTTAGACTTAGGTGTACTTGGAAAAATATTTTTATATTTTAAATTGTTCAAATCCATGATAATTATTTTGTTATGTATATTTGAAGAGATTTTACAATTTTATTTTTATTATTTTTATTAAATTGTTTCTTTCAACTAATACCTTTTGTATGAATGAAACTTATGTTTTACATCATTTCAAAAGTAATTTCATTAACTGAAATCAATACATTTTTAAATCAATTTCTCTTTAATTTTAAAAGAATAAAAAAAAATCTTTTAATAGTTGAGTAACTTCATCGATGTATATATCTTTTGATTGAAAAAAGTTATTACTCATTAAATATATTTTTAGTACAAATAAAAATTAACACTCACATATAATATTTTAATTAAATTTTATTTTTAAACATAATTTTACAATTAATTTAGTATATGTATATTAGTACTAACAATTGAAGTACTTTTTTAGAAGACTAAAACAAGGGTTTTACTTATTTAAACCTAAGTCAGTTTTGTTTGTGACAATTTTGAAATAAAAAAGTTAAACTTCATCTACAAATTTACTTGTCATAATAACCTATCATAATATATGTTTACATGTTTATTAATTTGATACTCATTATAATATGTTTGAATCCTTATTCACGTTTTCTCTCAAGAATTTTGTTTCTTCTTTTCTTGTTATCTCTCAAGAAGTTCACAACTCAAGCTTCCTCCCTCAACTTGTATTATCGCCAACTTCATTATTTTATTTTTTGTGAAGAGATAAGTTATTGAACTCTAAAATGTTATATTCAAAATCGCTTTAATTTTGGAGTTGACAGAGCAATTTGTTTTGGTTGTTCTTCACACGTTAAACATTTGTTTAGTGTTGGTGTTGTACATACCACTATTTTGGTGTTGTCACTACATGCTTTCGTTAGAGCAAGTGTCACTAGAGAGTAGAGTTATGGGTCATATCAAGAAAAAAAGGGTAATGATAACTATATGGAGGCTGCTTGGCGACAAATTAGTCATAAGTAAATTCGTCGGTGAGACCCACTTATTGGTGGTATACACAAAGATGAAGATTGATGAGCATTCGAAAAAAATTCTAAAAAAATCTTCTTTAAATTTAAAGTGAGAAAGTCAACTTATTATGTTACGATACATATAATAGTAAAGTAATTTACTATGAATATTTATATACCTTACATAACATTTTGGATAGGTTTTATGATTGTGATACCTTGATTTCTTTAATAAATCTTATTGAGTAGTATTGTGATAATAATAGTTTGATTGGTTTTACATGTCACGCATTTTCTAAATCAATCTCTTTTTTATTTGTTTTGCTAAAGTTTTTTAATATCTTAAATGTTTTTAGTTTAATTTAGGTTTTTTCTTTTTAATAACTTTAATTTGTCTTTAAAAACTCTAAAAAGTTTGGTCTTTTCTAAAGATTTTTATATAAGTGTTTTGTTGGTTTGTGTGGTTGGATACATGCTTTAATCGAAAACTTGAAATAATTTATCAATTTTTTAACAGTGATAAAAAATTATTAATTTATTTATTGGTTGACAAAATTATGTGATGGGTTCGTTGACTAATTTTTATAAGTTTTTTCTTATATTAATAACTTATGATTTCTAAATCAATAAATCAGCTTACTAAATTATAAGTTTTTCTCGTAACTACTTAATGTATATTATAAATAAATGCAAAGGAACTTTGAAAAACATAATTATACAAATAAAATGCATATTTTTTAAATAAAATATATTATTATGTAATTGTAATTGTAATTTTAAATTTTAAAAAATAACATATTTTATTAATTAAACTAGCTGAATTAGTTTTTAAGTTAATAGTTCATAAAACATTTTAATTAAAATATCTTTTTAAACATATCCGTGTTAGTCAAACTTAATTACAAGACAGTAAAATAAATTAATAGTTAACTTAATAACTTTAATCATTGATATGAATAATAGTTTTCAGAATTTCTGATTCTTATAAGTCATATTCTTTCTTTACTAAAAAGTTTCTACCGTACAAACTTCTCTTAAATAGTTTTATAAATAATTTAAAAATGTATTCGAATAGAATTGGATAGCACATAGTTTTATTCTGACTGCTAGAGGACATTTGATTGCAACATCCAAATTAACAATCTAATTAATTTTGAGTATTGTATAGAACATTGAGATTTGTTTTTTCGTTGGTTCTCAAACATTTTTATTTTTATTTTTTTTATCATTTTACAATTGTTTTCAAAAAGCGGGTTTAAATGAATAGCAATGTGAAAATCGAATAAAAATTAATGAATTCTATTTTTCTGCAAAAACATCGCCGGTTTCCCAAGTGATTTGATGGTTTGGAACAAATTCCCTTAGCTCCGAGTCCTTGGTTCGAAACTGGCAAAGAGAGGAAGAAGAGAGAAGAAGAAGAGAAAATGAGGTATTTCAAAATACCTCTCTTTTTTAATAAATCATGACGTGATTTATCTACACACCATTGTTAGCACGAAAGTCCAAATTGAATGAATTTCGATGGGCCTGACTCAAGTATAGATAATTTTTTTTATAATGCAATTAAAATTGGTTTATTTTTTGAGATGGTATTTTGACCTCTTGAAAAAAGAATTACGTAACAATTTAAAATAGTAATATTTTAATTATATTTATTTGATAGATAACACAAAACTAAAGCAGTCATTTTATTGGCATTTTGTTTTGTAGTATTCATCAGGAGAGAAAAAAGCAATTAATCTAGTGCAGTCAAATGACAAATGACATATACGCATACAGAGAAGTGTGTGTAATTGTTTACTTTTTATAGATTGTAGAAAAATCGTCACCAAATAACACCTTCATCACGGAATAATAAAAATGAAAGCCTATTTTATTTTGTTAAAAAAATAATTTTTCATGTTTGGAAAGACAATAATTGTCTCGGACCATACCTTTAAATTAGTCTAAGTTAAAAATATATATATTTGCAAAGGTTTTTCATTCTATTGTAAATTTTCACTAAATTAAAACCTTATAATATGGCTGATACTGAAATATAGAATAAAATTTGTCTTCTTCTATTTTTTAGTGGAAAACCTAACAGAAAACTGTACTAACAGTTATTCTGGGAATTTTTTTTCCTACATGCATGGGTTAAGTGCGTATGGATCGTTTCCAAACAGTCAACGCACACTTAGGAATTATTATTTTTTAAGGAAATAGAGTGGATAAATTTGGATAGATTTAAAGACGAGGTTTGTATTATTTTTTTTGAGAGATTTGAAGATGATGTATAAATTTAAGAATAAAAATTGTGAGGGATTTAGTTAATGTAATAGATTAAAAAAAGTTTTAATAAATTAAAAAAATAAGGTCATCAAATTATTCTTGATGTTAAAAGTAATATAAAATGATATTTAAATTATGTAGAATTATTTTAGATTTTTTTAATAAATAATATTCTTAAAAATTATTTATTAAAATAAATAAATAATACAATATATTTGGTATACCTAAAATTAAATATTTTAATTTTTGATATTAAAACTCAAAATAATTAAAGATATTTTTTTATCACACAATTAATAAAGTCAACTCAAAATATGACAAATGTTAGAAGAAATATATGATTTATGGTCAATCAAAGTGAATTTCCTTCATTCATATAAGTTTGCAACATATTCTAACAATATTGTGTCGACATCCCCATAATATGTCTTGTATGGGATGAGTGTGAATATAGAAAGTTGTACCATTGTCTGAATAAATTGTCGTTTGAAATATTTATGCTTGTTAATAACTCAGAAATTTGCACTTCAATATATTGAGATGAATGAATTTCATAAATTAGATTGTATCTCTCATTAAGGAGGATGATTGACGTTACTATTTGTAACTTGACAGTCAACAATGACAAACATTCATCTTTCAATATCATTTGCTTCCTCTAGTAAGTTTTTCTATAAAAAATAATAGAGGTGGACATATGGTATTAGTTAAAATAAAGCGAAGTTATTTTTATAAAATCACTTGTTTCACTCTCGAATCTCCTTGTTCAAGCGAGATTGCATATATAAGGGCATGAATGTTGCAATTCTACTCTTCCCATCACCTCCTAATCTTTGCAAATGAACACAAATCAGATTCCAAATCGATGTTTGCTATTCTCTTTGAAAAGTAAACTCATGCAAAAGAAAACAACCAATATGTGTTCTTTTATAAAAATTGATTTGAGGGAGAGAGTTGATGGATTTAGGTAAAGTTGAAAGTAAAATTTATGTTGTTTTTTTCATTAAATTTGGAAGGAAAAGTGAATGTATTTAAAAATAAAGTTTGTAAAACTTTGTGAGTGATTTAAATGATGTAACAAATTAAAAATAAGTTTTAATAGATAGAAAAGTAAGATTACTAAATTGTTTTTTATGTTAAAAATAATATAAAATAATATTTAAATGAGTTAGAAGTATTTTTAAAATTTCTTTAACGAATAAAACTTTAGAAAATTATTAATTAAAATTCTAAACATCCTTAATGATTCACATAGTACGTACGACCACCAAAATGATATCATTTTTTACCTAATAATATTAATTAAAATAAAAGAAAATATATTTTCTTACAAATATTAACTTCAACCTTTGACATAATTATACAATATTAGAATTTCCACATAGTTATCATCCCTTCGAAGGATAAAAAAAAGATGGATACACTAGCCTTTTCGAATAGGGTCACCACCACACGTTCTTCGTTCAGCCAATGAAATTCCGCCAAACGTCCTCGATCACTTCCTATAAGACAACAAAAAAGTGAAAAAATATAACAGGTTCCATAGAATCGGTTCCAACTTCTTCCAGAATCGATTCCGCCTCTTTCACAAGTGAATTCCAACAAAATCCATAATCAATTTCAATACTTAAACGTGCATCTTGTATTAAAACAAAAATATTTTTGTAAACCACAATGATCACCTACGAATCTTCATGCAAATAATCGAATAAAATTATGAAATAATGTACTATTCATCTCTGTCTTCAAATACCATATAATGAACTCGATCTCACAACCGCCCTTCCTAATTAGTTTTTACAATACATAATTACAAAAGAACACGACAAAGTTTCCATAAATGCAGAGAAGCAAGTAGCAACCACATAGACTGACTTTTAATTCAGTATACCACCAAATTAAGAAGTTTGACCTGGAAGCTAGTGGCAATGAAACATAGCCTTTAATTCAATAAATACTTAAACTTATTTGACGAAAATCAAACAAAACTTACACCTCTAGCTAGAGATTTGGTCATTATAACTAGGGTCTATGAAAAAGCTAGCCTATAGCATCTAGATTCTGGCTATCTCAAACTACTACTAGGCAGCACTTGATATATCTACCAAAAAGCAACCAAATAAAAACGTCAAAATGCTCATCTTCCTCCTGAACTTTCCTTAATCATCATCATTATAATATTATGATTACTACTATAAAAAATCACGTATCCAACGTGTAAAGTTGGCTAGACTTATTCATTGTTATAATAATTTCAATGAACAAGCTGTTCAACCTCTCCATGAGTTATGTAAAACCGGAAGTAATAATTTTGTTTTTCTCGTTAACCCACGCCATGTAGGGTTGTTCAGGAACCGGAATTCGACTGAAGGTCAACAGTAATAGTTGTACTACCAAATACTGATCAGTTCTAGTATTTTTTTAATCACTTTTCTATATTGCTACTTTGGAATTCTTCATATTTTTGTAGTTGTTTTACCATTACTTTATATCTTCCGCTTCTCTCGAGGAAGAGAGAAGCCAAAAACGATAACAAGGTAAAGACAGAAGACAAACCAACAACAACAACTACTACTTAGAGAACAGGCACTGCTAGGGGAACTCGCTGTTCCTACTTTCATCTCAAACATGCAGTGGGTCCCAACTACCCTCAGAACAGCTGACAATACACAGAACCATATCTGATCGCAAAATCGCTCTAAACTGGTCTTAAGCTTCACCAACAATTCCCAATAATTTTCTGTTACTTTCCACTGTACTGCAACAACATGAATTGGGACCACTAGATATGTCATATGAGTTATAGTCAGAAAGGACTTCATCGATAGCCTGCAATGAATTGGTTCAGACCCATTGATGAGCCTAAGGAAGCAAACTTGGCAAGCTCTTGGGGTAGAAATGCATGTCCACCTCCATTTCTGTTCACGCCAAGAAAATCTCTTGTCAAGTTACATTCCACTGTGTTTGAGCCTGGATGGAGGTTTATCTGAGTTGGTTCCAAATTGTTTTGCATCAGAAACTGATCAAAACTGTTTGATGGATGTGTCAATGAGCTAAAGTTAGTAGAACTACCCAACATAGTTGCACTACTGCTTGTTCCATTGAAATTTTCCTGTTGGTTCATGTTGTGAAAGACTTGGTTAAGTTGGTCACCGGTTTGGTTTGCATTGCTATTATTGAGACTGGTACTTTGGGTGGAAGATGAGCTCATCACTCCAAAACTGCCACTGAAAATTGAAGGGTTGGTGCTTCTGGTGGAACCCATTTGTGCTGCCTTCTGCAAAAGGGCAGTGGCTGACATTGGGGAAGCTGAGATTGAATTCTTGTTTTGACTCTCAGAATAAATCGTTGCCAAATCTGAAGCTCCACCTTCTCCCTTTGAATTGGAGGCAGGCATTCTAAAATTTGAGAATACTGAAGAAGAACCAATCATGGCATTATTAGCTTGTGCCATTTGCACAACCTCAGGCAAACCTGAGGAACTTGATGATGGAACATCAAGAGGGTTATTAATGTGATGTCCCTGATTCAACCACAGTGACAAGTTTGGTCTTTGTTGGTCTGCACCCATCCCCATTAAACGAAACCCATGTGGACCAAAGTGTGGAACACTCTGCATTCCCTGACCAGTGATTAATCCACATGACGACAAACCAGCTTGTGTATTCATCACAGTTGCATCTTCGCTCTTGAAATTTAGACTACTGGTAGTAACTGAGGAAAGTCTCGAGCTCTCTTCGGCTAAGGCATCGCAGAAAGCCCTGTGAGTAATAAAGCTGTCCTTCCTGAGAAAAGTTCAGTGAAATTCCCCATTAATTATCTACTCATTTAAACCATACACTTACACAATAATCACACATTAAATCTCAAACTCAATGCACCACCAAACGAAAAAGCCTTACACATGTAGAGTGAGCATATATTCCATCCCAAAAAAGCACACACCAGAGATTGTAAATAGAAAATCATAAAAATAGAGTTATACTACCAATAAACGAGAACATAGGTAGATTTTTACGTGACTAAGCAACTGGGAATTAGTTTATGTCTACTTCGTGTAGTGACTATGAAAAAAAATTCATTTCCACGAGACACAGTCATATGAATCAAAACAACATGTGACTATTCATTAGGAAGTTGCATGAGTTAATTAATTACCTGGAGAAGAGGGTGCCACAGTCGCATTTATACTCTCTGGTGCCACAGGTTTTGGTGTGAGCTTTCCAATCAGATTGAACTGCGTACTTTTTGGAGCACTTCTCACACTTCCACTTCTTCTCACCGTGTTTTCTGCTATAATGCTTTTTTATTCCGGTGAGGTCTCCGAGAGCCCTGGAGGCGTGGTGGTGGACACATGTCTTCTCTGGACAGATATATACCTTCTTCCGAACCTCTTTGTTTGACCTCTGTCGTAGCTTCCATGGAAGGTTGTGACCCCTCCTATGAAGCTGAAGGTTCTGGTCCCTCTGGAACCCTTTGTTGCATATTTCACAGATGAAACGGTTCGTGGCCATGAGAGTTTTCGGTGAAAGAGCAATAACCTCAGCATCTGGATCTGCATAATCAAGTCCAAATTAAAAATAAATCAAAACCAATTTATTTGATAAGAATCAGTGGTTTTACATTACCTGGTGTTCCTGGTAGATTTCTCTTCTTCTTGGTGGGTGGAGGATGATGATTAGGGTTAGGGTTTGTGTTTTGTTCATTGGGAAGCCCTGGGAGAGTAGTGGACAGAGAAAAGGGGTCACTGGGTATCATTTGCATATTGGTAAAAGGGGAGCAGTGAAGCTATATTGTGGAGTGATTTGCTTTCTAGCAAAGTAGAAGCAAACAGCTAACTTTCATAGGTTTCAGACAGTACAAGCAAGAAAACAAGGGATGTTAGAATAGCTAAAGCCAAGAAATATAATATAAGTTTTTTTTTGGAGGTTACCACCATATTCTGTAAGAGGGAGTGGTTGGCTTCATGTGATTATTCTGCTCTAGGACAAGAAAAAGCCATAGACGAAACTTGAATCGGATAAAATATATTTAACCCCCGAAAAATATATTATATATATATATATATATATATATATATGCACACACTTGTGTATGAGCTTCTAACTGGTGTCTGCACCCTTGTTTTTTATTTCTTTAACATTTGAAAGATGTAACAAAGACCATGACATGATGATAATATATATACATATAGGGAGAGTGTTATACTATTGTTTATACATATTTTGTATCAGTTTTCTCTTTACAACTCCTTTGTCACACTCTTCTCTCACGTTACCTACTTGTTTTGTATAAAAAAACGTTTCTTAGTTGTATTTCTATTAATTATAGTTCATTAGATAAAGTTATACATATAATATGTTAGCTACACATATCTTATGTCGGCTCTGTGTGTGGCGTCACCCTCCCTTCCTCTCTCTCCTTTCACTTGCTGTTTACTGTCTTTGGTTTTACGCGTACGTACCCTCTTGCTTAATAACTCATTTACTGGCATTCTCAAAGTGACAGAGTCATAAATATTAATGGGCCACCACATAATTCCACACACACACACACACACTTTCAGCCACAATACACAAAACAGACCAGATCTTTCTCAGAACAGAGATACAACCACATGCACGTCCGTAGAAGAATGTGTGTTTTCATCTGTTCGAGAGAGTGAGTTGCATTTCCTCTGCCTTAGGCATAGCAAATAAAAAGAATGATGTATAACATTCCTTGTGTAGATAAAGGGAAATAAATAAAAAGCGAAAAACATGCAAATTATAATTAATCTAATTAAAGCATGTGTGGTAACATATATTTAAGCACAATCTCCATAAAAAGAAAAACCGAAAGTTTTAAAGCTGCCAGTGTACCTCCTTTGGTAAAGCTGAACGATACTTTTATATACAAAGGTTGACTCTTTGGCAGATTAATAGTATTATTAGTAATACGTATGAAAGGGGTTGTGTTGTTGTGCACGTGACATGGAAGAAATGAAGGTTAAAAGGATGGTGTTGGTGAGAAGGAGGGTAACAGAAAAGTTACTAACCTTTATAAGAGGCTTTAGTTGGTAGTGAATGATTAAGCCATAATTAGAGTGAGGGTACACTTTTAGCATGCGAGAGACTGTTGTAACAGAGAGGTCAGAGAAACATTTGAATAGAGAGAAAGAGAAAGAGAAAAGGGTGCATGTGTGTTGTGGGGTCAATACACTAGTCTACGATGTAATGTAGTGTGGGACAGTGTTTGAGGTTCTCTTTTTCCGATGCAAGTTGATAGGACCGTCCGTGATACTCTGTCACTGCGTAGTCATTGTGAGGGCTCAAGAAAACTGAACCATGGGGTCCCCGCTGCACCGTCCATCATCCCAAAAAGTATCACTCCTACGTCCATAATTTTCCACCACAATGCTTTTTACTATTCTTATTTTTACAGATTTATTTATATACTGTAAAGGAAATGAAAAAACTCTATTATTTTCATCAAAGATCAAATAAAAGTTGGAAATAATCCTCAGGTCGAGGATCTCATAGAGTTCTAAACCCATTTTCAAGAGCTAAATAATGATTTCTAACGTGTAACTACAAAAATAACATCCTAATTGCTTGCGGTTGAGTTACTATATTGTTGGTGAATGAAGAAGAATCTATTGAGTTCTGTAAACATGGAGACTTTGATGTTAAACAATCCATAATCTATTGAATACTGAGCCTAAAAAGTTTGGATGTTTGTTTGATGGCCATTGTGGATATTTGATATGTCAGATTACATTTATATAATATGAGTTTACTGGATATTTAAATACAAGAGTAAAACATAGATGCTTGTGCATTGAGTAATTACCTTAGATGGTAAATATTAAATGCAATTCCTTGTAAATTATTATTTTCTTCATTTATCTCTTTCTATTGAAGGAGAATTGTAGAATAGTACAATTGATTTATTACGTGTCTAAGTTGGGTTGGATAAAAATATATTTTTAAATATAAAATGAAACAAATATAATTAATATATGTGGATTGACGCATGAATTTTAAATCTTTGAATCGAAACTCCTAAGACTAAGTACGAGTATAAATATGTACCATCTATATAGTGACTTAAATTTTTAAAAAAGTGACACGAAACATGTTTGAGAATATGCTCGAATTGTTTGGTCACCTTGACGACCACGTTACATTATAAAGTTTAGCTAACTTCCCTGGTCACTGTAGGTGTTTGTGAACGATTTTAAATAAGATTAAGAATTAGAAATTAAAAAAATATATATATGAATTATTGTAATATGTGTGTGTAAGAACTCCTTTGAATCACGTTTGAAGATGAACTTAATCAAGAACTTGAGGATTAGAAGAGTGATGAGACATCTTACCTGACAGTCACACTCATAATTGATGATATATTACGTGATGATCATTCATCCCATGTGGCTTTGTGGATTCTTATTTTCCTTTACTTTTTTCTCTTTCTAATTTTGTTCCGCATGAATTCTTCGTCCTATGATCATGTGCAATCGATTGTAATTCAACCATATATTCTAATAATTATCATGCATTTTTTCCAGAACAAAAAACTCATAAGAAATGAACAGAGGAAGATCAATAAAAGTTAGTTTAATTAAATAAATCATTTATATTATAATACTTAATTTTTAATTTTAATGTATGGTTTGAAATTGTCCCACGAGTTCATATATGGTTCACTTTGCATGTTTGTTAAAGCAAAGTTTAAAATGTAGTTATATCTCTCTCTCTCTCGCCGGTTCCTTATGATGAATCGTCTCTCTCAATTTCCAACAACCCTAGCTAGCTACATATGTAATGTCTCATATATATGAACAACTTTTTGCATCACAAGTAACAGCATTGACCTCCTCAACTTAAGTAATCACTGCCACTATTGTTAGTTAATATGATCCAAAGATTTATAATGTTCTTCTATAAATCATTATTTATAGATGTAGCAGCATCCTCATCAACTTGGTCCTTACTTGTATATATAGATTAGTTGACTTTCATACAAGGATCAATGCAAAGGAAAAGTTGAGATAAAATAATAGTGAAACTCAAATGCAAGGAAGAATAAAAGGAGTTGACAATTCAATTGTGAGTTTAAATGTGAAAGTAAAAGCATATAAAGGTAAAGATACATTAACCAATTGTTTTAAAATTTTGAGTAGAAAGTTATCTTAATCTTTTGTGATTGAGATCACATTTGTATCGAAAGTTTTACAAAGGATTCCTGTTATGATGAATGAACGAAGAGATACTCTTACTTTTATGTGTTTGAATTCAGGTTTCATTAATATTGTTTCTAGTAAACTTTCATATGAGTACAATGATCTCTGTATCGAAAGTCGAGTAGCATCCTCCTCCTCGATAAATCTAACAAAAAAGACTTCACTTATTATAATGAAAAATATTTTTACGAAGATTTTATTATCCAATTTTAATTCCTATAAAATTGTCGTCAAAATTTTTATTTTATTTACAAATTTTTCATTACGTCATTTTTTAAGCCAATAACTCTTAACCCGTCATCAATTTATGTCATTAATGATTTTTTCGAACTAGTTTTTGCGCTAGTGATAACAATGTATGTCTTGTTGATGTACAACGACCAACATTAGTTAAATTTCAAAGCAATTATGTGCTTAGGTGTTAGGCGTGTAAATGTGGCAATTACTGGTTTTGAAATAGGTAGAGCACTCAAAGTTTCACGTCCTCTCTCTCAAAATGTTTTATAAGGACAACATTATTTCAAAGACAATAATAGGGTAATTGAAACCAAGGATTGGAGGATGAAATTTTGAAAATATGAAATATAAATTATTACTTTTTATTTCCAGTCATAAACTTTTTAAAATGTTCATCTCCGTCTTCAGTTTTTATTAAAAAATAAAATTGAAAAGTAAACAAAAACAAAAAAACCCTTAAGCTCCTCTGCCCAGTAATGAATGTTTTATGGTAACTTACTTAAATTTTGCATCATCATCATCAACTCGATTTGGGGTATTTTCATAAATGGGTATGAGATATATAATAAAAAAATCAGTGCATGTTCAACTCGTTTGCCAACATAATATATATACTCAGAAAGTGAATAACCTGGCCGGCGAGACTAGAGCTACATCACACCTAATGATCTCGCGTTAATTATATATAGTTAAATGGAAAATGAAAGAGAGAGAAGATATCATAATTAGTTAATTAATTAATTAATTAAAAGGAAAATGTAATTTAGTTGTCTCTTTAATTATACTATATATATTATTAGCCAATTCAACAACTTTTGGCTTGACATATTTGGAGCTAGCTTACGATCAAATCCATATTATATTGTATGTTTCCTCATCTCAATGTATAATCGGTATCCTATGCTCACTCCCCAACACGTTCACAACAACACCACAAACATAATACAGATTCAAAACCCAATGTCGAAATATAAATAATTGTATAATTAAAATAGAGTTTTCGAATGCAAAAAATCTCTGGTAGGAGACATAAAAACATATTATATCCGACCAGATAACGACATAAGGAGCATCCCTTCATTTATTTTCTCTGCATTCTACACAATTCCATGCTTAATTCTTTTTAATTCAATTATAATAGTATTTCCCTCAAATCTATGATTAATTAATTGGTTTTCCATTGATGCAACTGGTCTGCCTTTTAATATTTTTAAATGAACACAACATTGTTACCCAAAAACGCGTTTTAGAGAAAGATTTTCAAACACACTATTGGTCTGTTGTATCAGTTTTTACGATTGTAGAATATTGTGATATGTCAAAATGGTTAAAACTCGCGAGTACCAATTGAGTTAAGTTTTGAAAAAATTAAAATCTTTTATATGGATCAACTTTTAATTTGGATTAAATTTATGATGATATGAGTTAACTCATCAATTTACTTAATTTAATTTAATTATTTATTATTTTATATTTTAATATTATTATTTAATATATTTTTATTGTATTGT